CGGTAGTCGATTCTGGTCGCACTTGTCTAATAAACTAAGGACAAAATCAATGGCATTGGTTCCACCTAACGGACCAGGCAGCCGAGCTTGGGGGTCTCGTGCCGGGGGTCTATCCATCAGGGGGTTGTACGCTTACATAGAGGCTAAAGTAGCCAGTTTTGGAGCTGGCTAAAGTAGCCGGTTGATATATATATATATATATATATATATATATATATATATATATATATATATATATATATATGTGTGTGTGTGTGTATATGTATGTATGTATGTATATATAAGCCTATATATAAAGGCCTATGAAAAAATACTTTGAACCTGCACTATTTTACTAAACAAAAGTACCAAGACTGTGGGGGGAGATAACTCGATACAAACATGCTCCTCTTCAACTACTGTTCACACGACACACGCATAATTTCTTGTGTTTAACTTCTGCTCATCCCCCCACCCTGCTCCCAACCCTCGGCGTGGACACCACTAGCCACCCCTCCCCTCTTGTGATTATCCGCATTTGAATCTCATTAATCGTGACTGAGTCACCTTGTCAGGCTGACCTTGGGCCTGGCTCTAGCCTTGAGCCTAGCGCTGCCTAAGGTTGGCGAGGCTGAAATCAACATCATCTCATGTTTTCTCTCACTTAAAAACATCCTCTCTTACAAGGGGGAAATGACGGCCGTGACGCCATCACATTGACAAGACAAGGCGACAACAGCTTTACTAGAAACATTTTTTTCTACAACATGCCTACAAAAATCGTGACACACACGTGACACAAACGTGACATACAGCAGCCAGTCTTGTGTCACGTTGAATTATTTACACCAAACTTAGGAAGTAAATAACGGTCCAATATGGACCAGTACCTTGCTAGAACAAGACTTTCATTTTTTTTTCGGAAACTGTAGATGGCCTTCAACTAACTTAACATTTCCTCTACGTAAGTACGTCATTAATACATTCTCAAAGGTATATATATATATATATATATATATATATATATATATATATATATATATATATATATATATATATATATATATATATATATATAACGTGATGTAAAATTTGGTATACATTAAGTATTAAATTACTGTAATTATTGTAAAAAATTCAATGGATATCTCAATTATAACATGGATGAACTTGCAGTGTATGTGAAAACGATGTAATCTCGATGTAAACTTGATACAATCTCGATGGAAAGTCAAAAAAAATCTTGATGTAAATTAATTCATTTTGATGTAAACTTGATACAATCTCGATTTAAAATTGATACAATCTTGATGTTAATTTGATACAATCTCGATGTACACTTCATACAATCACAATGTAAACTTGATACAATATCGATGTAAACTTGATACAATCTCGATGTAAACTCATCGAACACACACACACACACGCCCAAAAATATCATCATTAAACGTCATTAAAGGCGGAGGTAATTAAAAACGTATGTATTGTTGTGTATCGATCCTCGAGAAAAATGGTTTGTTAGGCCAGTGAATAATGGATCTTACGGGAACCTGCCTCTGGTTGTAAACGTGGGGGCGGGGGGGGGGGGGGGGGGGGGGGTCTGCAGGTGATAAAGGGGGGGCGATGTAGGATTGGGGCGGGGGCGGGGTAGGATTTGGGGGGGGGTGTCGCAAATAATCAGAGCCGGGTGCATCAAATTTATATTGAAGATAACAGCAGTGTGTGTTGTTTAGGTCACGTGGTGTCGTCCAGTTGTGTGTATATTGTGACGTCATTACTTGAAGAGATAATGGTCAAACTTTTATGGCCACTCCCAACTGTATCATCAAATGTCAGTATTTTACAGGCTACCTCAGATGTAGTTAGTGTTGACATCAAATGTCATTATTTTACATCCTACCTCAGATGTAGCTAGTGTTGACATCAAATGTCAGTATTTTACCCTCTACCCCGAGTGTAGCTAGTATAAACAGAAGGTCAGTATTTAACTGACCACCAGACAATCAACTCCAGAGGTTGACTACAAGAGAAACTAAACAATCATACAATCGTTGATTAAACAATCATACAATCCTAATTGTTGGTTAAACAATCATACAATCCTAATTGTTGGTAGACATTTGTGTTCGCTGATCCCACCAGCTTTAGTCTAAAGTTAGACAAACCATAACTTTGTTAGATGGACTTAATGTAAAGTTAGACAAACCATAACTTTGTTAGCTGGACTGAATGTCAAGTTAGACAAACCATAACTTTGTTAGCTGGACTGAATGTAAAGTTAGACAAACCATAACTTTGTTAGCTGGACTTAATGTAAAGTTAGACAAACCATAACTTTGTTAGCTGGACTTAATGTAAAGTTAGACAAACTATAACTTTGTTAGCTGGACTTAATGTAAAGTTAGACAAACTATAACTTTGTTAGATGGACTGAATGTAAAGTTAGACAAACTATAACTTTGTTAGATGGACTGAATGTAAAGTTAGACAAACTATAACTTTGTTAGATGGACTGAATGTAAAGTTAGACAAACTATAACTTTGTTAGATGGACTGAATGTAAAGTTAGACAAACTATAACTTTGTTAGATGGACTTAATGTAAAGTTAGACAAAATAGAACTTTGTTTGCCGGACTTATTGTGAAGTTATAAGAACGGATACCGTCGAGTCCTTGGGTATTCTCAACTCTAACCCCACAGTATTGAGATTTTTATTTTAAAATGGTATTCGAATATTTCCCGAGTTTTATTCAATTATTAATTGAATATTCTATTTTATTGAGTTTAATTGTTTCTGTAAAAGACTGAAATGGTGTCTTAACCTTCCGAATATTTTAACGGCCTACGGAAGATTTTTTGAGAAAATCGTCTACAAAACTTCCCGTGCTAAGAAATGTTTTTGTCTTTTCAAAGCATGACTGTAGAAACTAAATCCGGGTCACATGGTGCGGTTTTTTAATTAAAATTAAAAATCAAAACCATGGGTCATTCATGGTACGGGTTTCTATTTACACGGGTCACCCGTGGTACGGGTCAACTGTGGTACGGGTCAAAATGTCAGCCTGACCCTTCTCCTCCACTCAAATATTCTTTTCGTTTCCCCGATTTTTGTTTTAAAATTCACGTTTTTAATTTCTGCCATGACGTCATACGTCAGCGCCCTAACACCCAACGCGCCCCCTAATCCCACCCCCTCCCCACCCCCACCCCCCAGCTAAACGGCGAAGGCCAGCGCTGGGCACGCCTTACACACATAAAACTACATTTGCTTCTAATCAAATTTTTACCAACACGTTCCTTCTTTATCTCGTTCTAATTATCAGATAAATGACCTTGAAACGAGAGCTTTTAAAATTAACGCGCTGTCGAAATTTAAAAAAAAAATTACAACCGGAATTTAAATAAACGAAAAAAAATTTATGTGAAAATAAATTTTACCTTTCAAAGTCTAATAGTTGTAATGAAATATTACTTGGTAGGCGTAGGAACTTTCTCTGGGTAATTTAATCAATTTGTTTTAGTTGAAATCGATAGCTTTTCGGTGTTTTATTTTTATTTTTAATTTTTAAAATGAAATTGGCATTTGAAAAAGTTTTCCTAAAAAGTAACGAAAGAAATAATCACAGCAAATGTCGTGTTGACCTGGGTTCTGATTTGTAGTCGTCCTACTAATTGTTGGTTTAGAAGTTTTCTCACATCGGTGAGAGATATAGTAGCAAGAAAATTACGGTAAAAATATAAATTAAAACAAAATAAAACAGAAATAAACCAGAGCTAAAGCACAGTTAAATGAAGAAGTAACTAACGCAGACACACTCACGTAACGTTGGTCAACACACACACACACAGACACACACACAGACACACATACTCACGTAACGTTGGTCAACACACAGACACACACATACACACACACAGACACACATACTCACGTAACGTTGGTCAACACACAGACACACACACACACATACTCACGTAACGTTGGTCAACACACACACACACAGACACACATACTCACGTAACGTTGGTCAACACACAGACACAGACACACACACACACACACACAGACACACATACTCACGTATTGTTGGTCAACACACACACACACAGTCACACATACTCACGTAACGTTGGTCCACACACACACACACACACACACACACAGACACACATACTCACGTATTGTTGGTCAACACACACACACACACAGTCACACATACTCACGTAACGTTGGTCCACACACACACACACACATACAGACACACATACTCACGTAACGTTGGTCCACACACACACACACACACACACACAGACACACATACTCACGTATTGTTGGTCAACACACACACACACACAGTCACACATACTCACGTAACGTTGGTCCACACACACACACACACACAGACACACATACTCACGTAACACACACACACACACACACATACTCATGTATTGTTGGTCAACACACACACACAGACACACATACTCACGTAACGTTGGTCCACACACACACACACACACACAGACACACATACTCACGTAACACACACACACACACACATACTCATGTATTGTTGGTCAACACACAGACACACAGACACACATACTCACGTAACGTTGGTCCACACGCGTACACCATGAGTGCGCTAGGTAATTAAGACAAGACTCCCTGTACGTCCGCACAACACAGCACTGATTTGTGATGGTACTGGTCCATTGTGATCAGCGGTACACGGGGATCAATGGGGAGGGAGGGGGCAGTGGAGGGAGGGAGGGGGTCAGTGGAGGGAGGGAGGGGATCAACAGTCGGCCCGTGGTGGACACACGACCCTGCTCACACTCGCTATAATGGGCATGGTGATGATGTAGTGAGGGCCCATGCGGTATGGGTATGTTGTCACCATCCATGTCAACAGTGACACCATCCATGTCAACAGTGACACCATCCATGTCAACAGTGACACCACCCATGTTGTGACACCACCCATGTCAACAATGACACCATCCATGTCAACAGTGACACCATCCATGTCAACAATGACACCATCCATGTCAACAGTGACACCATCCATGTCAACAGTGACACCACCCATGTCAACAGTGACAACACCCATGTCAACAGTGACACCATCCATGTCAACAGTGACACCATCCATGTCAACAGTGACACCACCCATGTCAACAGTGACACCATTCATGTCAACAGTGACACCATCCATGTCAACAGTGACAACACCCATGTCAACAGTGACACCATTCATGTCAACAGTGACACCATCCATGTCAACAGTGACACCATCCATGTCAACAGTGACAACACCCATGTCAACAGTGACACCACCCATGTCAAAAGTGACACCATTCATGTCAACAGTGACACCTCCCATGTTGTGACACCACCCATGTTGTGACACCACCCATGTCAACAGTGACACCATTCATGTCAACAGTGACACCACCCATGTTGTGACACCACCCATGTTGTGACACCATCGATGTCAACAGTGACACCATCCATGTCAACAGTGACACCATCCATGTCTACAGTGACACCACCCATGTCAACAGTGACACCACCCATGTCAACAGTGACACCACCCATGTCAACAGTGACACCACCCATGTCAACAGTGATACCACCCATGTCAACAGTGACACCACCCATGTCAACAGTGACACCATCCATGTCAACAGTGACACCATCCATGTCAACAGTGACACCATCCATGTCAACAGTGATACCACCCATGTCAACAGTGACACCACCCATGTCAACAGTGACACCTTCCATGTCAACAGTGATACCACCCATGTCAACAGTGACACCACCCATGTCAACAGTGACACCACCCATGTCAACAGTGACACCATCCATGTCAACAGTGACACCATCCATGTCAACAGTGACACCATCCATGTCAACAGTGACACCTCCCATGTTGTGACACCACCCATGTTGTGACACCATCCATGTCAACAGTGTTACCACCTATGTCAACAGTGACACCACCCATGTCAACAGTGACACCACCCATGTTGTGACACCATCCATGTCAACAGTGACACCACCCATGTCAACAAAACAAAGCTGCCACCAGACCCACGAGCAAACATTTTTGGTTATATTAAAACCCTCGACTGAATAGGGTACCAGTAACCTAACATCGATTACATATTGATTGCAACATATGTATCGATCCATGTAGTATCGCGTTTTTAGACCGCTCCAGATTTTATTACAGAATCAAAGATTGGCTTTCAGGTATCGCCACACCGGTATCGCGAGACTGGTATCGCAGTGCCTCTATATTCGCCCACATCTCCTATAAAAGACGCCTCTGAGTATCTCTTTCATCTTGCCGCTTGCTTTGTCCGGGCAATTAAGTCGGGCAAAAATCCCAGGGACTTTTCCACTAATTCTCCCTGGGCCAAGCGAAAACAATATAAACTATTTAATAATGGTGGATGGTTTTTATCTATATATAGTCGGTCAAGAAAAGGGGGTGGGGCGAAGGGTGGGTATAAATAAAGAAACAAGACCCTCGAGTCGCCTAGTTTTATCTGAAGCAGGGGAGGTTTATTTTGGTCAAGATTGTAAAAGTTGGAGTGGTTTGTTTTTATTTAGGGATGGAATAAAAAGTTTCTTGGAACAAATTTGTATCACATACACACCAATGTAGCCCCTTCTACCAGAGTAAGCTTATAACAACGCCCTTTTTAAAAATGTAAGCTTATATTAAAGCCCTTTTACCAATATAGCCCTTTTTGCTCGTGTCAGCTAGCAATAAAGCCCTTTTTCCCAGTGTAAGCTAGTACTAAAGCCCTTTTTACAAATGTAAGCTTATATTAAAGCCCTTTTACCAATAAAGCCCTTTTACCCGTGTCAGCTAGTACTAAAGCCCTTTTTACAAATGTAAGCTTATATTAAAGCCCTTTTACCAATAAAGCCCTTTTACCCGTGTCAGCTAGTACTAAAGCCCTTTATACCAGTGTAAGCTAGTACTAAAGCCTTTTTTCCCAATATAAGCTTGTACTAAAGCCCTTTCACACCACTGAAGGCTTACAAACGCCTAGATAGAGGAAAAACACCAGATAATTTGATTATAGATAATAGGTGGACATGAAGCTCCATCCATTCAGTGAACCGCACGGCAGATAAAAGGTAAATGAAAGCAATGGACCAATCAGTCCAATCATTCAATCATCCCATCAATAAGTAAACACAAGCTAGACAATTTAACACATGGAAATAACGACAGCATTGTTGGTTGATGTAACTTAAGTATTTTAGAACAGTTCCAAAGTTCATTTTGCAAAGAGAATGTGTTATTCTTGATGAAAATTTAAACCGTTGTTTTTAACTACAACATATACCACAGCAGGGATTTCTAAACTGTAATTTTACTTTTCTATCTAGAGATTCGTGCCTGGTATACAAACACCTTGACCTTTGTTTACATCAAACTTCAAGCAGCTACTGGTGTCTTCTTGAGCACTGACAGGTCACCCAGCTCCAGGTGTCTTCCCCAGCTCCTGGTGTCTTCCCCACCTTCCCCAGCTCCTGCTGTCTCCCCCAACTCCTGCTGTCTTCCCTAGCTCCTGCTGTCTTCCCCAGCTCCTGCTGTCTTCCCCAGCTCCTGCTGTCTTCCCCAGCTCCTGCTGTCTTCCCCAGCTCCTGCTGTCTTCCCCAGCTCCTGATGTCTTCCCCAGCTCCTGGTGTCTCCCCCAACTCCTGCTGTCTTCCCCAGCTCCTGGTGTCTCCCCCAACTCCTGCTGTCTTCCCCAGCTCCTGTTGTCTGCCTCAGCTCCTGTTGTCTTCCCCAGCTCCTGCTGTCTTCCCCAGCTCCTGGTGTCTCCCCCAACTCCTGCTGTCTTCCCCAGCTCCTGTTGTCTGCCTCAGCTCCTGTTGTCTTCCCCAGCTCCTGCTGTCTTCCCCAGCTCCTGCTGTCTTCCCCAGCTCCTGCTGTCTTCCCCAGCTCCTGCTGTCTTCCCCAGCTCCTCCAGCTTCCCCAACTCCTGCTCTCTTCCCCAGCTCCTGCTGTCTTCCCCAGCTCCTGCTGTCTTCCCCAGCTCCTCCAGCTTCCCCAACTCCTGCTGTCTTCCCCAGCTCCTGCTGTCTTCCCCAACTCCCGCTGTCTTCCCCAGCTCCTGCTGTCTTCCCCAGCTCCTGCTGTCTTCCCCAGCTCCTGCTGTCTTCCCCAGCTCCTGCTGTCTTCCCCAGCTCCTGCTGTCTTCCCCAGCTCCTGCTGTCTTCCCCAACTCTGACAGCTCCTACTGTCTTCCCCAGCTCCTGCTGTCTTCCCCAGCTCCTGCTGTCTTTCCCAGCTCCTCCAGCTCCTGCTGTCTTCCCCAGCTCCTGCTGTCTTCCCCAGCTCCTGCTGTCTTCCCCAGCTCCTGCTGTCTTCCCCAGCTCCTGCTGTCTGCTCCAGCTCCTGCTGTCTTCCCCAGCTCCTGCTGTCTTCCCCAGCTCCTGCTGTCTTCCCCAGCTCCTCCAGCTTCCCCAACTCCTGCTCTCTTCCCCAGCTCCTGCTGTCTTCCCCAGCTCCTGCTGTCTTCCCCAGCTCCTCCAGCTTCCCCAACTCCTGCTGTCTTCCCCAGCTCCTGCTGTCTTCCCCAACTCCCGCTGTCTTCCCCAGCTCCTGCTGTCTTCCCCAGCTCCTGCTGTCTTCCCCAGCTCCTGCTGTCTTCCCCAGCTCCTGCTGTCTTCCCCAGCTCCTGCTGTCTTCCCCAACTCTGACAGCTCCTACTGTCTTCCCCAGCTCCTGCTGTCTTCCCCAGCTCCTGCTGTCTTTCCCAGCTCCTCCAGCTCCTGCTGTCTTCCCCAGCTCCTGCTGTCTTCCCCAGCTCCTGCTGTCTTCCCCAGCTCCTGCTGTCTTCCCCAGCTCCTGCTGTCTGCTCCAGCTCCTGCTGTCTTCCCCAGCTCCTGCTGTCTTCCCCAGCTCCTGCTGTCTTCCCCAGCTCCTGCTGTCTTCCCCAGCTCCTGCTGTCTTCCCCAGCTCCTGCTGTCTTCCCCAACTCTGACAGCTCCTACTGTCTTCCCCAGCTCCTGCTGTCTTCCCCAGCTCCTGCTGTCTTCCCCAGCTCCTGCTGTCTTCCCCAGCTCCTGTTCTCTTCCCCAACTTCTGCTGTCTTCCCCAGCTCCTGCTGTCTTCCCCAGCTCCTGCTGTCTTTCCCAGCTCCTCCAGCTCCTGCTGTCTTCCCCAGCTCCTGCTGTCTTCCCCAGCTCCTGCTGTCTTCCCTAGCTCCTGCTGTCTTCCCCAGCTCCTGCTGTCTTCCCCAGCTCCTGCTGTCTTCCCCAGCTCCTGCTGTCTGCTCCAGCTCCTGCTGTCTTCCCCAGCTCCTGCTGTCTTCCCCAGCTCCTGCTGTCTTCCCCAGCTCCTGCTGTCTTCCCCAGCTCCTGCTGTCTTCCCCAGCTCCTGCTGTCTTCCCCAGCTCCTGCTGTCTTCCCCAGCTCCTGCTGTCTGCTCCAGCTCCTGCTGTCTTCCCCCAGCTCCGACAACTCCCGTTGACTGGCATCAAAGACCTAAATAGATTTGAAATCACGGCCTGGGATTGAAGTGACTACATTAATATTAATAACGGGCGGCAGAAACAAAAGACCCGCGCCTGTGCCGCACGGCATGGGGCGCTGCTCTACTGTATAGTGTAATCCTCCCGGCTGAATGGGGGGGGGTGATGGCGTGAGTGGAAGATGGGGATGAGATATAGGTTGGGCTGGGGGAGGGGGGAGTGTGCAGTATATCATGGTGATGAAGTGGGGTGATTTAATAAACTGATAGAGTATACGGAGCGTGAGGTGACTTTTGGGAATTGGTGACTCGGGGGTGAGTGGTGACTATGTGGTAGGTGGTGACATGAAAGGGTGTGTTTGCTGTTGAGATTATTTCAGCTATACTCAGCCGTGCACCATTAGTTGACACAGGCTTATGCGTAGATTGTTGAGTAAAATAATCAGAGGTCAAAAAGAGTTAATGAAGAATGTTTTAAGAGAGAAGTTATTTCTCTTGTTTTGTCAAACTTTTTACAAACATATAACCGCCCCCTACCCCCAGAGTCCTGTGTATGTGGCCATAATAACTGTACACGTAGCTTCTATTGTTCGTTTAGCTTTTAGTGAATAGTTTCATATGTGTTTACATATTTACTTAATGTGTAATCACATAATGATAGTATGTGTGCCGACATACGTGTACCATAAAAGTCACATAATTGCTTTATATGTTGTCAAATAATATTCTTGGTACGTAGGCAAATTATCAATTAATTTTTAATTAATTTTACCTCAACAGTTTAGATTTTGAAGCTACATAGTTAGCATATTCAACCACAATCTTAATTCCCGTTAATTGATTATTATTTTGTTCGAATCGATTTTTATTTTCTGGGTATCGATTACTATACTTCATGTATCGATTTTTGTTCGGTAGCCGTGGTCTCAAACCTACCACGTAGACCAAAGGTCAACAAAGCTATCGGTCGCACGTGTATGTCAGCCCCGCCGCAGTGCCCGGGTGAGCGGTCATAAATACCCACCCCTAGCATCACAGTCCAGATACGATTACTGCGAGAATCGAATCCACAATCAGGCCATTATTCCAGATATTGTAATCAGGTCATACAAAAATCGGTTCTATGAATTTACTTGTGCTATTTTTATTCTCGAGTTAAACCCGCTTAAGTTAGAGATAGGGAACAAAAATAATTATTTCAATAAATATATGTAAATTTTCTATCATAAATTAATGAATGCGCATAGTTTTATGTAAACAAAAAAAAATTTGGAACAACAATTCTTCTCGTGCGGAAAGAAGTTGGCAACTGCGCATGTGCGTTGCGCATGTCCACCCAGCATGTAGCAGTGATAGAGCGACGCTCTCCAGTCACCCCCAAACTATCGCAGTAAATGATAATCTCGTAAATAAAATGACAAGCTAACAAAAAAGCTATTCTGGTAGGAGAGTATGCCGTTTCTATGGCAACAAGTAATATACGAGGTTTTGGCTCCCATCGACTAGCGTCAGCGGAAGTTGATGTCAGTAAGTTATAGCCCCCCCCCCCACCCCTCCCCTTACACAACACGTAGCTTACGTGGATAATAATGTCATTCAGTTATGGGCCCCCACTACATAGAATTGTTCGATCTTAATGCCAGACAGCTATGGGCCCCACCATTTTGAATAATCTGATTTTTATGTTACTCTACTTTGGGCCCCCACTACATAGAATAAAAAACTCTTGATGTCTTTCGTGTCTTCAAGTTTGGGATGGGAAGGGGGGGGGGGTTACATCTATGGGGTCGGGGGGGGGGAACATCTATGGGTTCAGGGGGCGGGGGGGGGGGCGGGGTTTACATCTATGGGTTCAGGGGGGGGGGGGGTTATATGTATGGGTTCAGGGGGCGGGGGGGGGGGGGGGGGGTTACATCTACGGGTTCAGAAATCGTAGCTTTCCCAGCCAAAGACCCACAGTACAGCCTCCAGACAAAAAAAAATTAAAACATCAAATCGCGTGATATGTTTGTCTTTTATATTCTTCATTAATCGAATGCCCCCCTCCCCCCCCAATGGAACATGTAAATAGTTGCACGTGCTACCAAGCGTGACTCACAGTCATGTGACCAGGCATAACGTGACCCTCAACAAAAGCTCGGCATCTTGAGACGGGCTTCTGATTTCTCAATGTTTATCTTCAGGTCCCAATGTTTTTCTTACATCTACAATTCACGCACACACACGCACACACAATAATATACCTCTTAGAGCACACTCTACACAGAGCCGAGTCTACCCAGAGCCGAGTCTACACAGAGCCGAGTCTACCCAGAGCCAAAGCTACCCAGAGCCGAGTCTACCCTGAGGCTGCCCAGAGCCGAGTCTACACAGAGCCGAGTCTACCCAGAGCCGAGTCTACACAGAGCCAAAGCTACCCAGAGCCGAGTCTACACAGAGCCGAGTCTACCCAGAGCCGAGTCTACACAGAGCCAAAGCTACCCAGAGCCAAGTCTGGGTAAAGTCGGTACTACCCAGAGCCGAGTCTACACAGAGACGAGTCTATCCAGAGCCGAGTCTACCCAGAGCCGATTCTACCCAGAGCCGAGGCTACCCAGAACCAAGTCTACCCAGAGCCGAGTCTACCCAGAGCCAAAGCTACCCAGAGCCGAGGCTACCCAAAGCCGAGTCTACCCAGAGCCGAGTCTACCCAGAGCCAAAGCTACCCAGAGCCGAGTCTACCCAGAGCCAAAGCTACCCAGAGCCAAAGCTACCCAGAGCCGGGTCTACCCAGAGCCAAGGCTACCCAGAGCCAAGTCTGGGTAGAGTCGGTGCTACCCAGAGCCGAGTCTACCCAGAGCCGAGTCTATCCAGGGCCGAGTCAAGCATTGACTGTTATCACCGCTGAGCTGACTGTGTTCTACCAAGCGCGTGCCTGGGTGTAAAGGCGATTCCAGTCAAATACCGTATCGGCCATCTGTCGAGTTCCCCGGGCGCTGGGGGGGGGGGGGGGGTGTTGTTAGAATATAGGGGCCAGGGGAGGGTGGGGTGGTAAATTGGGTCAACCAAAGCTAGCAAGAGTTATTCCACTTAGCTGAGTTAGGACTAGGGGACACAACCTATTGTTTCAGAGCGAGGCTGTCGTTTGTCCTCACAAGACGCTAAACGTTTAGAGGAGGGGGGGGGGGGGCGGGGGTTAAATAAAGTGGGGAGGGTGAGGGCTGGATGATAACAACATCAAAGATAGTTATCCGAAAGATCGGAGCTACACAAAAGAAGTTTCTTGAATGTTTTAAGCACGCGTAGACTCTAACTTGGCGAACACGACGTAATTTGTTCACTTCTAAAGCCATCAGCGCTGATGTATTAAACTTTAAAAAAAAAACCTGGATAAGAAAAAAAAGCTGTAACAATTAACCGTGGATGGACGGACTAAAGATTTGAATGGAGTCAGTGGAGCGTGACCGGGCACGTACCTTATCAAACAGCGCCACGGCAGATCAATTTAACCGTGATCTGATCATTTCGACACGCTCTGATTCACCTACCACAATCGCCGGGGCGGGTGTTGACGGTGGGGGCTTTTTTAATTAGCATTTGTAATTATCTTTCATCTTTGGTCTAAGTCATACATGGTGCTAAGTCATACTAGGTGATGACTTAAGTCAGCAAGTTATACATTGTACTGATGTTTCTACATGAGGCTGTGTGATGTTTTATTAAGGAGATGTTTTTTAAATGTGCGGGTTCTTTGTATATCTGATGTGATGTATTTGTTTGATGGGATTTTGATGATTGTCTGATATGCTTGTGATTGGGTGGGCTGATGCTGATGATTGGGCGGTAAGCTTGTGATTGGGTGGTATGCTTGTGTTTGGGTGGTATGCTTGTTATTAAGTGGTATGCTTGTGATTGGGTGGTATGCTTGTGATTGGGTGGTATGTTTGTGATTGGGTGGTATGCTTGCGATTGGTTGGAATGCTTGTGATAGGTTGGTATGCTTGTGATTGGTTGGAATGCTTGTGATAGGTTGGTATGCTTGTGATTGGGTGGTAAGCTTGTGATTAAGTGGTATGCTTGTGATTGGGGTGGTATGCTTGTAATTGGGTGGTATGATTGTGATTGGTTGGTATGATTTTGATTGGGTGGTATGATTTTGATTGGGTGGTATGCTTGTGATTGGGTGGTATGCTTGTGATTGGGTGGTATGCTTGTGATTTGGTGGTATGCTTGTGATTGGGTGGTATGCTTGTGATTGTGTTGTATGCTTGTGATTGGGTGGTATGCTTGTGATTGGTTGGTATGCTTGTGATTTGGGTGGTATGCTTGTGATTGGGTGGTATGCTTGTGATTGGGTGGTATGCTTGTGATTGGGTGGTATGCTTGTGATTGGGTGGTATGCTTGTGATTGGGTGGTATGCTTGTGATTGGGTGGTATGCTTGTATCAGTGGGCGGGCTGCCAGACTTTGCGTAGGAAGTTGTGTACAGTAGGATGATAAATAATCAACAGATCACGTGACCCGACTTAATCACCGCATTATCCGCCGGTCCTCAACTCACCTGAACGTATCTACCGATGTCGCCTTTTGTCGTGCGGCATTTCATTGTGCGGCCGTTTGTTTGTGCGGCATTTTCTATTGCGTCCATTTGTTCACATGTTTAATTCCTAAAAGGTTCCAATGTTTACCAGTTTTATGAAGTCAGGCCGACGTGGGCGCGATCCCGCAAGCGTGTAGAGTCGGTGTAGACCGGCGATGAACTGTAGCGAACACGCTTACAAGTCGGACAAGCCCGTCTGTAGAGGCTGATACAATATTCATCCCGTGGGTACTTATTCACGGAGCATGTCACCCGGCGCCCGGGGGGTTAGGTCCGCCGTGTTAACCCCACAAAGACGCCATTGGATAATGTAATCAAAGAACATAAAACCTACCGCTATTGTGTTTAGCCAGGTTAGGAAAACTATTTTTCTGGAGACAATGTATGTTTGATGGATACAGAAGTTTAGAGGCCATTCTTTATGCCCGCTCGCGATAAACACGTGAACAGTTCCATGGACGAGAAGCACTCACCATAGCGGGGAATGTGAGGGTCGGGACAATGGCCTGACCTAGATAGTCTATTATCTCAACAGTTTTTTGTTTCAAAAATTTAATTTTTTCTCTTTCCGTGGGCGTAGGGTCAAAGGACCGCGAGTAAAGGTGAAGGACGTAGAAATGGTGACCGGAAATCTATGGTAACGAAGGGACATCTGTTTTACATAGGATCACGGTGCTGGGGGGGGGGGGGGAGGGGTCCGTCGACCAAAAGACCTTTATTTAGAGTTACAGAAAGTTAACGGATATCATTTGGAAATAAAAAAAGCAATAAATCAAAGTAATATAATGAAAATAATTTGTTGTTTAAAAGAAATAATTTCCCGTCAAAGATTTGAAATTGTGTTGTTTTACATCCAATGCAACATTTTTTTTGCTTGCTGACAAGGTATGCTTAGCGGAACTTTTGCATATTTATAAAATAGCTGGTTATTTAATTTAGTTTGAAACATTCTGAAAAAAAATCACTTGTTGAGGCCGCACCCCATGCAAGAAGAAAAAGATATCACAAACTACCGGGTTCGAATCCCATGTGTGCAGTGGTAGCGACCAAAGTGAAGCCATCGATCAACAAAGTGAACACCTTACTCTGATGCTCTAGTTGAGCAGTT